AAGGGACAGCGGATAGTATCAGCACTCTTCTATGTTATCACCACCAACATACACAACTGGTAGGAACCTATAGCTACCTAACCTGTTTACCAGAGGTTGAATCATGGCGACAGGCCCGTCTTTGGGCCTGTGCCCGTAAGTCTTACTCCGAATAAGACTTCCTGTGAAATGCTAAAAGTCTACTTTTTCGCCCTGGTGGGTAAAGGACCAGCCACACCAAACTGACATCAAAGAACTAGTGGCGATGAAAGTCCGACTGCTGTGTCACCTCATGTCATCTGTGTCTCTGCCAAGAAGTTGCACCTGAACACACCACAAGACTACGACCTGCGTGGGAGGAAATAACTCTCCTTAACAACGGGTGGAGCTAGTCTGTATTCGTCATTCAAAAGGGAAAACCAGAAGACTGACAGAATGGATTCAAGATGCTAGTTAGCAAGTCAGCGCATTAACAACACAACCTGATGTTAAGACAACAAATGATGTTTATCTAGCACAAGCAAACACTAACATTAACATTACAAACCGTTTCTGACAAAGAGCCCAATGGCTAAAAAAATAATCTAATGTCATGTAACAAGTTTGATTCAATCTCACACCCTGTTGACTTCAGCTGTGTATTTACTTTACTAACTTCTGTTTCTCTTCTCATGCACAGAGATCAACTGCCAATCAACAATCCAACAAACTGAATCAATTGAAAAACAGGCAACAAGAGCTGACTAGTGCCAACAGTGCACGGCACACCACAAAAACTAGGGCAATAGACGCTCACTGACGGCCTGACATTGATCCAGGCCAACCGTCCGCTTGGTGTGTGCGGGCCCAGAGTCTCAACCTGTCTTCAACTTTGTAGAAATACCATGTTTCAACTGAATGAAAAGACGTGCAATTATAAAAAAAAAACAGCAGTGCAGCATTGAAAGTTGTACTGCCCTTATGAAAATAATACGTGTTCTAAAACTAAAACCTGCAGAAGTCTTGTATACCTTGAAACTAAACATCTACAATAAACACAACTTCTTACATACATTAAACGCACAAATGAACCACCGAAATATAACCATTCCTTCTTAAAACTATTGTTGACCTCTTGGTTGCCATCTTAGCTTTCACGATGAACAATTGCTGCAGGCTTGGGTAAAAGAACAATCAATCCACACAAAGGTGACTGCTTGCCATCAAAAACAGAAAAAGAAAGTGGTGGGACCAATCCATACAAACTAGGGGCCAACAGTTAATTTTAAGTAAGTGCCAGGCTGGCTACCAACAATCAGCTTTTGGTTGCCAAGGATGACAGACTGGTTGCCATATTTTAATCACTTTTAACTGGACTATAATGATCCTCTGTAAAGTGTAAGCCAAAACTCACTGACAAATGTTACTAAGAACATATAAACTGCCAGGCACACATACAACAGACTTCACCAAGCACATGTGGTGTAGTGTACAATAGGCAAAAAAATGACCTGCAATCCACTCTTTAGTTTGATCGTTGTGGTCATTTATGAGGGTGTTGTAAACTGTGCAGCTGAAAAGTTAATATGCAGAGTCTTATCTGAAGAATGATATCTACTAAACAATATGACAGTGGGTTTTTTGATGATTCAAACTGGCTATTAATAGGGGTGCACCAATTTTGAATTTCTGGGCCAATACTGATACCGGTGTTTTTATAGTGTTGTTTACTTAGTGTTTGTTGTTATTTATTGCCTCTTCTATGCAGGGAAAGGAAGAAATCAACACTGTAAAAACATACCTGTTTTAAAGTTATTAAGCCCGTCATTACACTACCTTTGAATGAGCACAAACTCAATGACACAAATTTATGAAACAACCTTAAACGTATCCTTTCACGCGAAAATCAAAATATTAATAACCGCTCAGCTGCTCTCACTCCCTAGTTCGGAGGGTGTGTGTGCTGCTGGCTTAGCTGCTATAGAGAGGCTGTCGCTGCACAGAGGCTTGTACTTCGGCTCAGGGGTCATGTATGTTACTACGTTACTGGGTTAGTTGCTGAGGAGAGTCTGTAGCTCTGCGGTTGTTCGCTCTTTGGCTTGGTGTCCTCATTGTCCTCATAATTCACCAAAATGAAACTAAAGTGGCTCCAAACACCAGACCTGTAGATTATCAGAGGATCTCCTATTTTTGGTCTGGTAATGGGGCTACTAACTGTCTTGCAACGAGCTAGCTTAATGTAGCGTGCCTCCCAGCGTGTCTCACAGGAGAGGAATGTTTTGGTTTGGGGGTGGGAGGGACAGACAGCATGTTGCCTGTTCTGACGTGTGGGCTGCCTCATTGAGCGCAGTGGCACTGAGAAAGTTAGATTAAACACAGTTTAATCTTTACATTTAAAGGACAGTTCAATGTATTGTTAGGTTTGTCTTGCATAGCGAACCGAAAGCCTAGTACCGAATGGTTCAGTATGAATACATGTATTCTAACATCTAATCCTGAGTTACCATCAGACTTGGCCACAGTGATAATCTGGTTGTCCTGTGCAACCATTACTGTCAAGGCACCCAAACACAGCAATCAAGAGCGTCTTGTTCTCTTGTTGTGTTTTTGTCATGATGCACTGACTCAGTTGTATTCGTCTTCAACTCAGCCTTTTAGTCAGCCACAAAAAATTATGTGGTAGACAACCTAAGAAGTATATAGGCTTTTCGAGGGTCTGAAGATCAATGTGCCGAAACAAAGCAATCAGGCATGTTTAAGACAATACATTGTTTGCAGCACCGTCACAATGGGCTGTCGTGCAAACACACCAGAGGTTGACTACCTCTGGTGTGCTGCAAACGAGTCAGCAGATCTCCTGCATCTGGGTAAAACTGCCATTATCGAAGTCTGAAGAGTTGTAAGACACAAGAGCCACTGTTAAACAGTCGAGGAGCAGAAACATAGAAATGTAGCCAGTCTTTCTATTACATAAAACATCTAACCCCAAGCTACAATCACAGGCCATGATCTTTCTGACCCCAGCAGAACTCCATTTCCTGTTGCAAGCACAGACATGGTTTTATTCTCTGGTGCTACTTAGAGGAAACGGGGCAAAATCTAGCGATCACTCAGGGGAATCCTGGTGGGGTGCACAGTTCTGGAGTGCCAAGAAGTGTGGCAGTTATCTTCATGATATATTTGACTTAAACTCAAAACTATTTCAGTAAAACTCTTAGTAGAAGATAGAATAAATATGCTGCATTTACTGTAAACACAATCATGACATTTCAATGTTCCCACTATAGGTTCTAATTACTGGTTTGGATTGGCTATTAAGAGTCAAATGCAATGATCCAACACAAGAAAACAACTAAATAAAGGCATACAAGTCCCCACTATATAACAGACCTGAAAAATGTGTGTACAGCAAATTATGTCAAAGAACAAAATAATAAACTCTTTAATTGACTGACAGATCCAGTGACACGATAATTGCACCTCATGTGTTAAAGAGAAACTTCAGCTGCAACGAGACTGTTGTTCTGTGTGTGGGTTATCTTACATTCACGATGTAAACACATCAGTGGTGATGTATTAAAGATAAAAATTTGTTCATATTTCTGCCAAAACACTTTGTTTATATTCAAATCCCACACACCCTCTTCAAGTATAACAGAATAGGGCATGTAATTCCATTTGAGGCTTTAACTATAGCACAGAGAAATAGGACCTACGCAAGCTCAAGGGAGACAGAGATATGCATCACTGCCTCTGCAGTGTAGTCAACATGAACGCCCCAACAAGCTAAAACACTCTCAGTATCTTGGTGGAAAACACCACCAGCGGCACTGCAGTGTTTTCCTCAGCATTGGTACTGCACCAAAGTGGAGAGCTTCTCCTCCATATTCCATTTCCTCTACAGCACATCTCAAATCCCACCATGTTGTGTCCTCATTTACATGTTCTTTAACACGGAAAACACACACACTCCACTGGACTAACTAAAGTAATTGTGACAGTTACCCATCCATATACACTACTGTTAGTCTACTGGCTATATACAGACACTTCCTGATGAATTCATACAGCCAGTGGGAATTTCAAAACACTGCTCTTTAAATAGTCCCTGCAAAGCACACAATTTTTCTTCACGGGTTTTAGATCTGACAATCTAATTCATTGCTTTCCTTATGGACAGGCTTGTAGCACATCCATTTTACTTAAGTGCTGGAAGAGACCAGCAAATGGACAAGACATAGTGCTTCATGACTGGAATTTATGACGCTGTGCACACTTAACTGGAAAAGCAGGTAGGCTAGTATTGCTTTGGATCGATTTCCAAACATCTGCTGCTGTTGTAACAGGCAAAAAATAGGCAACATTTAGATGTTATTATTGCACTTCCTTGAACAATGTGATGATAGTTGTTACTCTGGATATTACAGGTGCCCCTTGGTGCTAAACCTGAGAGTATGCAACAAAATTAAGCCAAACATTACACTACAATTGCTTGCTCCCAAGACAAGCCTTCTAAAAACTCATGCATAGGGCTGATGCATTAATCTGATGTGTGCATATACACATACGTGCATGTATGGTTAACTTATGCAACACTACTTGATTCCTTAATATTTTATTTAAAGATATCATCACACTGTTAGTGCCAGTCCCATCACACACGGGCAATGGTTTACCACAGATGAATGAAATTTGATGAAACTGTAGATCTTATGTTCCCTCAATGTTCAATACACGCCACCAATGCCTATTTTGATCAGATTACCAACATTTCAACACTGCATGACCACAGAGTGGCTTCATTCAAGAAGCAGACCAGCATGGTAAACACTAATTGTGTATCTCCACAATACAAGAAGTGAATTACATAACTACACAACCATGAAGCACATAATAAATGCTTAAACATCCTTAGTAAATGAAGATATTGCAAGTTGACCTTTGTCGCAACACACACCAAGCCGAGTTACCCACGGGGGCAGCAAGTCAGTTTGTTGTTGTTAACATGTTAGCACTGCAGGACCAGTAAAAATAAGACTTACCTGTGTGTGAATTCCACAAATTCAAATAGATATCTGAATCTTTAATGTTTAGTCTACGCCGCGATGTTTCCGGCCGATGCTGGATGGTCCCATTTGTTGCCGTCGGTTCAGCATACACTGGCCCGGAGACATCCGCATAAGCTCGCGACGACCATCGCAGCTCGAAAGCAGCTCACTCGACTCGAGGCTAGCGCTAGCTTGTTAAAACCATGTAGACCAACAAACAGACGTCCAAAGAAAAAAAGGCTAAAATATCCACGAGAACTCGCTTACAGCGTGGCTACTTCGTCGTCACCGCAAACTACGAACCTTTCACACTCCATTTGTGCAACGGTAGGCTTGCCTGGGTGAACGTAAACCATCAAAAGATCATATTTTGTTTCGGTTTAATCCTCTCAGCCAACCCATTCGAGCGGTTTTCGAGCGGCCTTTGACTTCAGTGTGTGGACGCTCGGGACGGAAACGTTCTGGGAATGAAACGAGCGTCCTGATTGGCTGCGGCGGTGTGGGCGGATACCGTTTCTGCTCAGGATGAAACAGACGCCATTTTGAATCCGCTAAGCAGCCTGAGCTCGCCTTGAGCTAACGCAAGCGCGGCTCCAACATGGCTGCCTGCGATTGACAGTTTCATGCGCAAGAGACCACACTCCATTATATAGTTGGAGACCAAGAAAAGGAAATGGAGTACAGACACTGGGTGCACTCGTTTTCTACACTCCGAAACCCCTTACATGTTGTTTATTCCTACTCGTTGCTTGTGTATTTAGATTTTCCAAAGGTTATTTACAATGCAAGCGTTCATGTATAGTGTGAAAGTTACACTGAATATTTTTTAGTCATGTTGTTAAGCTGCTAACTAAGCAAACACTTAAACTACATATTAAATGCAGGTGACGGCCGTCTCACCTCCTACTTTTATATAACCACGGGTATCAGTGTGCACTATCTATTTTGGCGCTTATTAAAATGTAAGTTTATATTTACAATGGATGCGTCATACCTCAAACACAGAGTGCGGGTAACACGAGAAAGGGTTGGCAAGACAGCGGGGCGTGCTGGTGAACAAACTCGACGCACCCATGGTCGAAATGAAACGCAAGGGGATGAAACGAAGGCTCCTATTGGCTCAAAGAAAAGCTCTGTACTCTTATTGGTTTTAGTGATACGTCACTCAAATTGACCTGTACACGTCGCTGCTCACGACATCATTGATTACCTTGGTAATTTACAGCAGCGATATGAGGAGCAGCAACCTGCGTTTTCTCACTCCAATTAAAGACTCCATCAGCTGATTTCACTGAATGGTGGAACGAGGATTACGTCATCAATAAAATGACCTGCTAAGGTGATTATTGATAATGAAAAGCAGCAGACTTGGCAACTGCATGGCACCTATCCCATGAGCTCAAAACACATAATAGGTTTTTACAAGTTGGATGTTACAACTGACAAATAAATGTGTTCGCATGTGTTATATTTTGGCTAAACCTAACTGGACTAAGGGCTAATGAATCCAGACCACTAATCAGTTAACTAACAGCGCCCTCTGCTGGAAGTACTGCTATAGTAACAACACACTTGGAGAAGTACTTCAAACATTTCAAAGTTATTTATTGTAAAATGAACAATTGCAAGAGAAGTCGCTGCAATTAAAAACTTGGGTCACAGACTCCCTCCACCAATGCAATTTAAATATGTATGAATACTACTGCTACTGCTACTGCTTACAAAAAATAAATAAATAAAAGAAAGTAAAATAAATAGATAATGAAATAATAATAATAATAATAACAACAATAATGATAATAATAATAATAATAATAATAATAATAATAATAATAACAATAATAATAATAATAATAAAACACACGTGTATAATCATTGAGAGAATCTAGATATGAGGAAATAGAAATAGAAAGTAGTGCAAGTTAAGAAAAGAATAAAATATAACATCTGTAAAATATGAAGTAAGCGATATAAATCAATATTTGCATGACTGGACAGAGTGTAACTTGAATTTTCTGTGTGCTATGAAAGTGTATATGCATAACACGAGTGTAAATAAATCATGTATTTACAGAGGTGCACATTTTTGGTGCAACATTTCTCATGGGTTTCGGAGAATATTCTTAACCAGACACACAATCATTTCAGAATTGTTATTATCGTCTTGACAGATAATTAAAAGAGTTTTTCTTTTTCTTTTGTTTGTTTTACATCTGCTGACACAATCTCAATTAAGATTTGTGTTGCGTTTTGCTTATGGTGCTCTCCATAACTGGCTGATGTGCAATACTGTAATGTGTAGTATGTGTTTTTATATTTTTTTTGTGGTGTATGCTTTTCATTTCATCTGGACAATTATTGTAAGGCAGCAATACTTGTGCAGCTCCTGAGGGTGAGACTAATTTCCCTACAGGGACAATAAAATACATCATGTTGTATCATATTGTATCTGTTATACTATGGGCAATTTTGTACTGTATTTTTGTCTCACTTATTTTTTTATTTTTGTCTTATTTAAACAGATCTTTGGTATAACTTTATAATTAAAATATCTTATGGGCTTGTCTTTTTTTCATTTATTTATTAATGCATGTAGTTCAATTTTAAGAATACCCCGTATGTGGTGTATCTACATACATGAGCTATGTGTAACATATGGAAAATCTACAATGTTTCATGCATTTATTTTAACACTTAGTAACTTAAGACACAGACAAGTAATATCCCATGTAACTGCCACTCAGCACAAGACAAACTCTGTTCCCAAAGTGGCTTAATATTAAGGGTAGCTGTGTGAGTATTATTTATAACTGGAGTACGCAGTGAGTTTGCGTCCTCATTGTAAAAGACGTGCGGATTTTATTTTTGCTGAATTGTACATCTTAAATATTACTTTTAAAACGTGGGCTTAATTTAACAGTATTAAACATGTAGTTTCAGGTAACTGCACAATAGCTGACTGAAATACTACGACACTAGAGAAGCTGCGCTTACACTGTACTGCGCAACCATCTGCGCAGCCCGAAAGTCCGTGAAGAACAACACGAGAGGTCAAAGTTCAGACTTCGACGCAAAGATGTTACCAACGGCTGCGAGATATGTAAAACACTACTATTCGATCTTCAGCGTGGATTAAACGCAGTCTTTACAAAAATGATAAGTAAATAATACAGCTATAATCAAATTTAGATTATATACGTGTTGTTTTTGCCTTCTTTTGCGTGCGCAGGAAGTCCGGGAGCGGACAGTTACAGGGATCATTTCGAGCTGACATCTTTGTTTTGCTGCCAGTTGAATAACACAGCTAGCTAGCTCTTAGCAGATTTGGGGGGTAAACAAACGAGTGAAAACACTAATTTTAGCTTAACAGAAAGCTGATAGCTATGGCGTTACAACTGTTTCTTTAATATTCAGCCTTCCGTGACAACAGACAGTATGTCAGCGCTGTTACTGCAGCAGCACCGGACTGGTCTTTGCAGGAAATACAGTGGAGGTTTATTGTGGACACTGTCAAGGCACAACTCTCATTTATTACACAAGAAGACTCCATCCAGCCAGAGTGTTAAAGATGTGCTGTTCAGGTGTGTTAATGTCAGAAAGATGCTTCTGTCAACATCACAGAGGACACTTACGAGTCAGCCACAGAAACTCATTCAGGTAAGAGTCTCAATACATCACAAATATTAAAGTACACTCCGTTATTCTGGCTTGTATTCATGGTTGGTGATGGTAACTGGTTTGTGAGTAAAATATGGAAAAACAGTCAGCTGTCTCCCTCAGCTCGAAAAGCTCGAAATGAAGTTAAATTGTCAGTGTCACCAGGTGACTGTTTTTGGAAGTAGTCTACTGACAGTGACAATCAGAAGCAAAAATCTTAAGGTCCCCTGCAATTAAAAGTAATAGTGAAATTTTTGGACATGTTTGTTAGTCTATTGTCAACAGGATTTACGTGTTTATTACATCAGAGATGCCCTAATACATCCATTTCTAATGGACCTGGCCACGGGCGTAAATATAGACAGTGCAGGCAGTGTGGTTGCACTGGGGCCCTGGGGTTGAGGGGACCTTGCGAATGATGCAGATTGCCACCTCGGAAATACACCTGTGTTCAAAGAGGAACTCATATTGAGGTTCGAAGGACAGAGGGATGTCATATGCTTTGAAGCCCTCTGAAGCTAATTATGATATTGTGCTTAAAAGATTAAACTGAAATTGAATTGAAATTTCTATTTGTACAGCCCTTTGAGGCATGCTTTATGATTGGGCTACAGTGAACTCTGACTTGACTAATCTGTAAAACACTTTCAGTTTCCTTTGGGTATGAAATGTGCTGTACATATACAGTACAGGCCAAAAGTTTGGACACACCTTCTCATTCAATGCGTTTTCTTTATTTTCATGACTATTTACATTGTAGATTCTCACTAAAGGCATCAAAACTATGAATGAACACATGTGGAGTTATGTACTTAACAAAAAAAGGTGAAATAACTGAAAACATGTTTTATATTCTAGTTTCTTCAAAATAGCCACCCTTTGCTCTGATTACTGCTTTGCACACTCTTGGCATTCTCTCCATGAGCTTCAAGAGGTAGTCACCTGAAATGGTTTTCCAACAGTCTTGAAGGAGTTCCCAGAGGTGTTTAGCACTTGTTGGCCCCTTTGCCTTCACTCTGCGGTCCAGCTCACCCCAAACCATCTCGATTGGGTTCAGGTCCGGTGACTGTGGAGGCCAGGTCATCTGCCGCAGCACTCCATCACTCTCCTTCTTGGTCAAATAGCCCTTACACAGCCTGGAGGTGTGTTTGGGGTCATTGTCCTGTTGAAAAATAAATGATCGTCCAACTAAACGCAAACCGGATGGGATGGCATGTCGCTGCAGGATGCTGTGGTAGCCATGCTGGTTCAGTGTGCCTTCAATTTTGAATAAATCCCCAACAGTGTCACCAGCAAAACACCCCCACACCATCACACCTCCTCCTCCATGCTTCACAGTGGGAACCAGGCATGTGGAATCCATCCGTTCACCTTTTCTGCGTCTCACAAAGACACGGCGGTTGGAACCAAAGATCTCAAATTTGGACTCATCAGACCAAAGCACAGATTTCCACTGGTCTAATGTCCATTCCTTGTGTTTCTTGGCCCAAACAAATCTCTTCTGCTTGTTGCCTCTCCTTAGCAGTGGTTTCCTAGCAGCTATTTGACCATGAAGGCCTGATTGGCGCAGTCTCCTCTTAACAGTTGTTCTAGAGATGGGTCTGCTGCTAGAACTCTGTGTGGCATTCATCTGGTCTCTGATCTGAGCTGCTGTTAACTTGCGATTTCTGAGGCTGGTGACTCGGATGAACTTATCCTCAGAAGCAGAGGTGACTCTTGGTCTTCCTTTCCTGGGTCGGTCCTCATGTGTGCCAGTTTCGTTGTAGCGCTTG